GTATTCTCATTACAACTCTGCAATATATGTATGATTTGGGCCATGAAAGCTCTCTGAACCTCAGTTTCCTCATCTGTAGAATGGGAGTAATTAAAAACCTACTAGCCATCTTATTCCTACAGGAATAAGGAACTATTGCTGGAGTGTTTTGCAGAAGGACTCTGTAAACTATGAAAGGCTTACAAGTAGATACATGTATTGTTTGTGATACAATACCGCATTTTAGTCATCTTTGACACTACCTCTCTCCCCAGACTGTGCCCCATGACTTACAGCACAGGGTTAGGCATGTACTGAGAAAAAGGCCATTAAATCTCACCTCCAAGGTCACACTTAGCAGAGAGCTAGATGGCCCAGTGTCTGTCTCATGACCCTTAGAGAAGGATTGCCTTTACCTTCCAGACATGGAATAATTCAATAGAGGGGAAGCATAGAAATAAGGACAGAGTTAACTCCTGGTACCCAGTAGGCAAGTGAATCTGTCAAATGCCATTATGGGAAGAGTAGACAACCAAGTCCCCATATCACAGGACTTCAACAAGGATTTGTTTTGAAGCATTTTTGTTTGGACTGAAAATGAACAAGAAGATGACATGTGAAAAAAAGAGATAAAGAAGAAGATTTAAGCACCAGAAGAAAGACCCAGAAAATGATCCCAGTGAGCAAAAGATCACAGAGAAAAATAGCAAGTACACAGGGCAGTAAGATCAAAATCAGATTACTTAATAAAAGCTGGCATTTCTTTAAATGGAAAACAATGCACATTGGCTGTCCTTGAAATGTGACACGTACTCCTTTTTTCAAGAATGCCAAGGCACTCCAAAGCAACAGCCATATCTAACAAAGCCCCATCACCCTAGAGCCCTGGAGGTCATTGTTCCTATACAATAGTAGGAGGTTGATTGAACAGATGTCACAGAACGTAGCAGTGACTTGAAATAGAAAACCCCAGAAAATAAACCTGTGCAGGGAGAGGTAGAATTTGAATTAGGCAAGGGCCCACCTGGTCAATAATGAAATAATTGCTCAAGACACATTCTTCTGTAATCTTTTGCAATGTAACAACTATTCTGTGCCCCACCTCTCTCAATGCTCCCTCAACATTTGCACGTAATCTCAGGGCCTCCTAAAGACACCGATTCAGAAGCCAGGCAGTCACTTCCCTAACGTCACAAAAATAGATTCAATTCTACATACATCAGGGTGATTTCAGAAGCAATTTCTCATCTCCGGTGTAAGCATTACTTACATTTTCCCCCCTCAAATCTCATCCCAGTGGTTCCACAGGGCATTTTAAAAGGTACCTGATGCATTCTAGGGCAGTCAAAAGATTCTGAGAGTGTTTCTGCAGCTGTAGCCTGAGGACGTCAGATGCATAGAGAGTCCTCATGTATTCAGTGATTCAGACAAATGCAAAATTTTCTAATAATTGGGTATAATAAGTCAATCATTATTGAAATCTTTTAGAAAGCAATACTGTTATAATGAATGCATATATGCAGTTATAGATGCATATTTGTGTATAGATGACTGTGTAGGTTTATAAATCTCTGAATGTATTTACATGTCTGTGTAAATATAAAACACGTCTGCATGCACATACATACATACCTCAATCATTTGGAAAGTTTGTCCCTGGCCTTTAAAACATCTAATTAGGTTTCGTTGGATATTTCTCCTCTTCCTTTATGGCAAGTTAAACTATTTCAGTCTTGGGTGTTTTCATCTTAAGGGTCTAAGTTTTGGCCCATAGCGAACAGTGACAATGTTCTCCTTTCAAACACAAGAATTCAGTGTTACCCAGGCTTGCGTTTGAGATCAGAAAGATTGAGAACCAATATCTAAAATTTCAGGGTCACAATGATTGTCATGAATTTTTGGCCATAATCATTTTGCTTTTCAGAGTCCTCCCAGGATACTTTTACAAACGGAAAAAAAAGTGAGCACAAGAGGCTGGACTGGACAGAAAAGGATGAATTGGTATTACTTGGCCAGTATTTTCAATCAGATAAACTTGCAAATGAACTTTTCTGCCCCAGGGCCAAAAACAGGGGATGCAGTGACACCTTAGCATACCCAGAGACTCAGTGAGCTCCTGATAAGCCTTTCTCATTTTTTCTATTATTATTAATTGACAGTAATTAATTATATATATTTATGGGGTATAGTGTGATACATGTATATAATGTATAATAATCAGGATAATTAATATATTAATCACCTCAGAATTTCTCATTCCTTTGTGTTAGAAACATTCAAAATCCACTGTTTTAGCTATTTGAAAATATCCAATAAACTGCTGTTAATTATAGTCACCCTACAGTACTTAGAACATTAGAACTTATTCTTCCTTGCTACCTGTAAGTTTGCAACACAGGTTGGTTTACAGATGCAAAATTATAGCTAGGCTGTTCCTTTCTTTTAAGGAAAAATCAAGCCCATTTTCTTGTCAACCCTGGTCTGCGTCAACAACCAATTTCCCTGCTTCTAGGAAATGTATAAGTCTCAGTGATTTATCAGGATTGAAAATGGGAAAAAAAGGACTGGCTTCATGGTTAGGCAAACCGCAAATTTGCTCTGATCCCTAAGAAAAATAGAAGTTAAATATTTGCTCATAAGCAGTATGTACCATTAGACTTTGTCTTTAAAAGCCATTCTCTAACCTTAAGAAGAACTCAAACTTACCATCACGGGTAATGTGCAAAGTAGTATGATGTGTCTATTAATATGATGCAAAGTGAAGTACGTCATATCAGCTATGTCATATTTTTGCCAAAATGTTTAACCTGAATGTAATCATGATGAAAAAAAGTAGACAAATCTGGATTGTGGAACACTCTGAAGGACCACAGCCCTAGACTTTAAAAAAATGTCAAGGCCGGGCACGGTGGCTCATGCCTGTAATCCCAACACTTTGGGAGGCCGAGGTGGGCGGATCACGAGGTCAGGAGATTGAGACCATCTTGGTAAACACAGTGAAACCCCGTCTCGACTAAAAAAATACCAAAAATTAGCAGGGTGTGGTAGCAGGTGCCTGTAGTCCCAGCTACTTGGGAGGCTAAGACAGGAGAATGGTGTGAACCCAGGAGGCGGAGCTTGCAGTGAGCGGAGATTGCGCCACTGCACTCCAGCCTGGGCGACAGAGTGAGATTCTGTCTTTAAAAAAAAAAAAAAAAAAAAAGTCAGTATCCTGAAAGAAAAAATGAAGTTGAGAGGGCTGTTCTAGATCAAAGAGTGACACCTGAAAACCAAATACAATGTGAGCACTCTGATTGGATCCTGGATTAAAATAACAAACAAACAAGCAATAGAGAACATTTGAAGGACATTGAGGCAATTTGACTGTGAACTGGTATATTAGATCACTGAAGTAAGATTATACTTTATTGTGGTTATGTTGAAGAGGTGTCCTAGTTCTTAGGAAACACATACTGAATTCTCTGGAGGTAGAGTGTCATGATGTCTGCAACTTACTTCTAAATGGTTCCAAAATGGGGGGGAAAAAAACATGGATAAGGGGAGAAAGAGAGAGAGGGTGAGTACGGCCAAGTGCAAAAGTGCAAATGTTGCAAAATGGTAGCAATTGGTGAATCTAGGTAAAGGGTATATGACTATTCATTCGGCAATCTTCTCAACATTTTTGTAGGTTTAAACTAATCTCTCTTTCCGAAGGCAGCACATCAGTATCTGAGCATAGCTATTGCCTCTGTCCAACTGCTGTATTCTAAATCTGGGCGCCTATGAGAACTCTCTGAACGACTTACAAAATCCATATCCCTCAGTTGGGTCCCACCTCTCATCCCCCAGGAGATTTTGATTCAGGAGATCAGGTGTGGGGCCCAGATATGGATGTGTTGAAAGCTTCCCCAGGTGGGTTCTGTGCTGCACTGGAGCTTAGAAATCATGGGCCTGAGTTACTCTCAGATCTGGATCCATTTAAAACAAGCTGTGTGGCTCTGGGATGGCTGGCCAAACACACTAAGCATTGCATACCTTACCTATAAAATGGGAGCAATAATACTAAAGATCTTACAGGACTATGGTGAGGATGAGAGACAGTGTCTACATTATAGAAGGGGAGAATTTTTTTCTTTCTTTCTTTATCCTCTCATAGATCCCCATCATCCCCAACTGATCATATCTTGAGTGATTTTCACAAAATGGAATTTCTTCCATTTGTAGCTTACATGGTATGTGGAGGACATCCGTGTATGTACAGATTCTTTTAGACTTCTTGCATTACCCAATTTGGGAAGAGGCTGGGAAATCTAGTCTATTAACTGACTGATATCATGGCTGTAAGAACAGAAGCCAGTCTGTCCACAAGGAAGCCTTAGATATTGGCAGTCTTGGAGTTCTCCTTAGGATAAGGGTTAACTCTGATACCTTAACCACTCAAATCTTGGGATCCTTTATTAACTCGGCACAAGGACTCAGGTGCCCTTGACCAATGCCACTTGGAACGTTGGCTGTGGCTTGGAACTGGCAAACGTCTGAGGGATGTGGCTTCCAGTCTAAATATGTAACTCATCAGCCATTGTATTTTGGATAAGTTGCTTCTCTGAGCCTCAGTTTCCTAAGCACTCAGAGTGGAGACAGTCATAATCTATGACTCACCTACCTTATGTGGTGGATGTGAAACACAGATTTGAAAATCTTAAGCTACTCCATTCAGTGTGGCATATTTTCTCCTTAAGGACATAACCATCCTCCTCCTCTTTCTTTTTTACTGCTATTATTTTTAACCTGTCTCTATTTATGTCCACAAGCAGTTAGGATGACTTGCTCCCATTTCCATCTGATTTTTTAAATATTCCTTTTCACCTTAGGATGAACTGCCCCAAGTCTTTGTCAGGGAGAACCTTCATCCCAGTCCATCTCAGGGAAGCATCCATACCCTATGCCTGGCAGCGCCTGATCAATGTGTCGGGTTCACAGCAGAAGTACTAGGGCCGAGCTGGACCACGGATGTCCCCTTCCCCTTTGTTGGCTCTACTTACTGAATCCGTTGACGTCCTGAGAACTAGAAGAGAAGCCTTCATCATTGCGGCTGGCGCTGAGCTTGGTGGTGGGTTTGTCAGCAGAGGCCACAGGCCCCATCTCCCTCTGGGCTCCACTCTGGGTCTCCTTCTGCTTCTTGGCCAGCTTCCTTTGGGACATGTGCAAGGGGAAAAACCACAGTCAGATGGTGGCAGTTGCATTAAAGCATTGGGAAGATAGATTGTTCTTCCCCAATCCTCATCCTCAGCCCCCAAATCTGGTTCATTCTCCAGAAAAAGAATCAAGGCAGAACAAACCATGAATGGTTTCCGTTTACTCAGAAATAGGAGACTCACGCTGCTGCCTCACCCCCGACAATGCGTGTGTTCTATGTTTGAGCCTAAAATGGGAAATCAATGAGACTCGTACAATGCTTCCCCCACTCTCCTTTCAGAGGAAATCAACAAGACTTGTATTCCTTTCCCCAAGTCTCCTTTCAGAGGGAGGAAGTGGCTAGACTGGCCTTTCTGTTTCTGTGGCTCTGAATGAAATTAAAAATGGAGACTTGTCTTTCTCAGGAACTGAGCTCATCAAAAACCCACCAAATAATAGTAAAGTGAAGCAGGGGCTGGTGGTTGGAGGTGGATGAGTGCGCAGGTTAGTTTCACAGCTCAAAAGAAGGAAAGTTACAGCTGAATTGATGCAGTCTTATTCCTATGGGAATAAAAGACCCTCAGAACCAGACGGATATTATCATAATATCACTATTTTGATAATAATAGTGTAGAGCAGTGCTTCGCAAACTTTGGTGTAAATTTGAACCACCTGAAGAGTCACACACACACACACACACACAGAGGCTCCGGATCACTGAAGTAGGACAGGACCTAGAATTCTACATGGCCATCAAGTTCCCCAGGTGATTCTGACACCAACCATTGGAGGTTAAAACCATCAGCTTTGGTGTCAGACAGACTCAGGTTCATAGGTTACCTCTGCTGCCTGCCAACTAGCTGCAAGACCCAGGGCAAATTTCTTACTCTAAATCCTGAACTATTCCTCTATATACTGTGGCAGATGACAGGACCAATCTTATTGGGCTGTGAGGATTAAATGAGACAATGCGTAAAATACACAGAGCACAGTGCCTTGCACATAGTGGACACTTGATGCCTAGCAGTTGCTATTCTTGTTTTTTATACTATTGCCAGTGGATCCAACTATATTGCAATGTTCGAATTCCCTCTCCAGCAGCCCCACTGTGGGATCCCATCTCTCCCTGAATTCTTGCAAGCAACATAGACTCTGACCTCACTGAGGAACTAAAAGGTTAAAAAGTTCTTTTCTATGGATTTAAAATCTATGTCCTTTACATTTTAACTGGATTGGTCTTAGATATATCATAAGAGATACAAAAATATGACTAACTCCTCTTGCATATAAGAGTTATTCAAATATTTCTAAAAAGCCAGCATGGTCCCTCTGAGTTTTTCCAACAAATATGCATCTAAATATAGCTGTCATAGTCCTATCACATGAAAGGCTATAGGTTAAACATCAGATATCTTGAGAGTAAATTTCTCCAGGTCCCTTGCTCCGTCCTTCACAAGAGTAGGCTTCAAATTCAATTTTGGTCATTCCTGTCTCAACACACAAAGAAGAGATGTCCCAGAGAGGTCAAATGCAGTGCAATACAGGGAATAATTTTCCAAGGTTGAGCCCCACTGATCACGAAACAGATAGTTTCAAGAGGTAACAATCTCGCTGCCAAAGGAAGTATAAAAGGAAATGATAAACCTCAACTTAGGCTGGGCACGATGGCTCATGCCTGTAATCCCAGCACTGTGGGAGGCTGAGCTGGGCAGATCACTGGAGCCTAGGAATTGAGACCAGCCTGGGAAACACAGTGAAACCCCATCTCTACAAAAATTACAAAAATTAGCCAGGTGTGGTGGTGCGTACCTGTGCTACTCAGCAGGCTAAGGTGGTAAGATCACTTGATCCCAGGAATTGAGACCAGCCTGGGCAACATGGTGAAACCCCATCTCTACAAAAATAACAAAAATTTAGCCAGGTGTGGTGGTGCGTACCTGTGCTACTCAGCAGGCTGAGGTGGTAAGATCACTTGAGCCCAGGAGGTAGAGGCTGCAGTGAGCCGAGATCACGCCTCTGCACTCCAGTCTGGGTGACAGAGACCCCGTCAAAACAAAAACAAAAACACAAAAAAACAAAAACAAAAACAAAAACAGAAAAGAAAAAAAAATCCTAGATCTCAACTTAGAAGTGCTTTAGAGGCATTCACGTGGGACAAATTCCAGTTTGATAGCATCCTCCTTGAAACATGAATCTCATGATCTAGGTGTAGACTTCACAGGAGAATGACAGATGGCATACGCAAATGAGGACAGTTTGAAGAAGGTCTATTTATAAAAGGTCTGCTGATAAAGGTCACAAGCGTATAGGGACCCAGGATATAACAGCATGTCAATCAGAGAGCTGTTTATTACCTATGGGACCAGAGGAACACATAGAGGAAGCAGTAACCAGAGCCCCAAAGGAGAGAGCTGTGAAGAGGGGGCACCGTGAACAGAAGCAGCGGCTTTCTCTTGAAAGTCCCAGCCAGTCATAGACAACCTCACAGGGAGAGAACCAGAGGCAAAAAAATGCCCTGACTACACCTTATGCCCTTCCTCTGGTCCCCTGTGGCAGCTCTCATTAGCTGAACCCAACAACAGTCGGAAGTGGCAAGTGATCTTTTTGACAGACTTCATACAGAATACACTCTAGAAGCAGAGAGCACAGTAGAGAAACGTAGAGAGGGGAACTGGATCCAGGAATCCCAACCAAGAAGAGAAAAGTTGCGTTTTTTTTTGTTTGTTTGTTTTGTTTTTTGAGACCGTCTTATTCTGTCACCTACGCTGGAGTGCAGTGGTGCAATCTCAGCTCACTGCAGCCTCTGCCTCCCAAGCTCAAGCAATTCTCATGCCTCAGCCTCAGCAGCTGGGACTACAGGTGTCTGCCACTGCATCCAGCTAATTTTTTGTATTTTAGTAGAGGTGGGGTTTCACCATGTTGCCCAGGGTGGTCTTGAACTCCTAAGCTCCGGCAATCTGCCCGCCTTGGCCTCCCTAAGTACTAGGATAACAGGTGTGAGCCACTGTGCCCGGCCGAGAAAAGTTTCTTTATACTTCTTGTTTGGGCCATCATTTGAAGAAACATGTAGCCTAAAATGGAATTCTTCATTCATTATTGTTATTATTTTTTTTCAAGTTGGCTTGGGGAAAGAAAGGCACTCAGGAAGAGGAATGCATCTTCTGGTTATAATGCTTTGGCCACAGGCACACTGTTCTACCAGTGAAACGATTCCAGGCAGACGTACAACAAGAAATGAAGCATTGGATCAGTCAGGCAATTAGACAGGGGCGGGGGGAAGGCCAACAAAAGAAAAATGAGCAATTCTGCCGCTGATGACATTTCGAAATTTTATTCTTCATTTATTATCAAAAAGGAGTGTGTTTAAAAATGTATATGTGACCTTCTTAATCATAAATTTGAAAAGATATATAGCAGATTCTTTGCTTCTATCTGAGCTCTGCTCACATTGGCCCAGCAGGAAATAAAAGGAAATCTGATAAGAGAGTTAACTTTAAAACTATAAATGAGTATGTTTCGGAGGCTTTGATATTTCCTTGGGGGCAGAACTCTCAACCAATCTCATTCCGTTCAGGGTAAAGTAATATGGAAAGGGTTGTCTTAGGCACAGATCATTGGTTTTCAAAGGAATCATCATAATAATAAAAGCCTCACTGCTTTTATGAAAAAATGGTACTTTATAGAAATGTTTGGGTAGCTCTGAACACCTGTATTCAAAAAAGAAAAACTAAGCATCCCCAAAACACATATTTAAAAATTGGAAAGTTAACTGAATTGTAAAAATATCAGATATATTACCTCCTTGGTATTTAAAGCTGATGGCTGACTCTGTATGTTCATGGTGATAATAATGTTATATAATCATTTTAATGTAGGGACAGATGTTTTGGCAATTGGCAAAGACAGCTACAAGGCGGAAATGGAGAGGGTATTTGTGGAAGGAAATAAAACACAAAACCACAGTTTGGGGATCTATATCTATTCTTCCAGAATTCTGAATTTAAGTTTTTAAAAAAGACCTCTCAGTAACACAGAAAAATTGATATTCATCTCCATAGCCAAATAATTTAATTTACTACCCCCAGACCATAGAGGATGGGTCTCTCTGGTCCCAGGGGCAGAATGAGGACCAGGTTGGCTTGATACAATGGAGGAATTTCTAGCAAAGTAGAACTGCTTAGGTCTCTTTTGGAAATACCTAATGCCTGAATTCCCCTCCCCAATTTTTCTTGTTTGGCAACCTTCTCTTCACCTTTTTAGGCCCTTATTTTTTTCTCTCAACAAAAGAGAAACCCAAATCTGTGAACAGGGCACTGGACTCTTAAACTATGACCCTTTAACTATGGACCAGGCTTCAACTCAATCTTATTCCCCTCACACAACCTTATCCTCCCATTTCAGAAAACATCAACTACCTCCTCCCACCACATTATTCCTCAATACTCCATATTCCTTGATGTGTCCCTCTTCTTCTCCACTGGTTGCCTCCTCTTTATCCTCCAAGGCTCAATGTAAGTGTCACATCTCCTCTGAGGCTTCTCCCTGCTCTTCTACATAGAATTATTATTTTCTCCTCTGGTTTGACTCATCCATTGAACATGTACATGTATCAATCTCTGCTAAATGCTACAAGATCATGTCTTCTTGACCTTAATCCTCATGGAACATGAAGACTAATGGCAAAGACAGGCATTAAACAGATACAGAGGTAGAGACAAAAATCACAAAGATGACGAACACCAAGAAGAAATACCTGTCGCTATGTAAGAGGTAGAACCTGGTTTGAACCCTGGCAGCAGATCAGGGAGGGTTTTGGTGCCATGTCAGCTAAGTACTTGTTGAGTCAAACTGCAGTGATTCAACTCTTTCACCTACTACGACAAGAACCTCTTAGGAGAAGGGCTTTTGACTCTTTGCACCTACTCCAATTTCTTGCTGAGTGTCTGGCACATGGCTCAATAAATTTGTTGCACAAATTTATACTTAAAAGTCTGCAATTTGAAGTGTAGAAAAGAT